CGTTCCTCTGTCGCAACAATACTTTTTACAACAAGCTCTGATGATGATAAACAGTATTCCATACACCACAATGAAACTAAGGACTATGAGAGCACTTTCAACCCTAGAAAATACGTGACTTGTCAGAATGGAAAATGTGATATGATAATTGATAGGCAAAACAAATTTCTTTAACTATAAAGTCTTTCTTATATTTTTATATTTTGTTTCCTGTAGTTTTATTTCCTTGAAAATATATTTTATGCAGAGCTGATTTTCTTGCCTCAGAGAGAGAGAGAGAGAGAGAGAGAGAGAGAGAGAGAGAGAGAGAGAGAGAGAGAGAGAGAGAGAGAGAGAGAGAGAGAGAGAGAGAGATATTTACCAAAAATCCATAACAGTTTTATTTACAGTTTTTACAAATTCATACGTAGTTTCTATTGACGTCTGTTATATATTTCACAATCTACAAGCAAAGGGAGAGGGCACCACTTCAATTCAAGCACTTATAGAACACATATCTGATATGACATTGTTACTAAATAAAAAACAAGCGATAATATTGATTTACAATTATGAATGAATCTTAGCAAAATAATATAAAATCCAAGAAGATAAAAGTTAACATGCTTATTTATTGAATTCACATTGTATGTACCTTTGGACAGGGAAGGGTCGAATGCACCCAAGAATTAAACGATTGATTATTTTAATTTAGTGCACCGTGTGAAGTCATTATCTACAAGAGACTCTCATCATTTGAAGAGATTCATCATATTAAATTTAAATGTTTTAAAATCAATTTATTAATCAAAACTGTTATTATATGAATAATCCGACTCACTATGAAATCCGACGTCAAATTTCTTTCCCATTTTGCTATTTTCCACATTTTTTACACTGTACAATCCGACACCCTGTCTATTCTGACACAAATTTGTCTCCCAGTGCAGGTCGGATTACACAGGTTTCATTGTATATGAATACTAATATAGGTAACTTTGATCTATTAACCATCGGACTCCAAAATTTTCAGGGTACTTCCCTGAGCCATGAGATGTTAGGATATACAAGGGCATATACATGGTCATTATAACGACCACGTATTTACTAAATGCTAATGTGTTTATTGAAATAACTTTATTTTCAACTAATGTGTAATTAAAAAGTAGCTTGCATAAGATAAAAAAATTCACGAGTACACTCTTGAAACGTATTTATCATTTTAATTGAGTGCACCGTGTGAAGTCATTATCTACAAGAGACTCTCATCATTTGAAGAGATTCATCATACTAAATTTAAATGCTTTAAAATCAAGTTATTATATGAAAACTACTATATAGGTAACTTTGATCTATTAACCATCGGACTCCATAATTTTCAGGGTTCTTCCCTGAGCCATTAGATGTAAGAATATACAAGGACAGACATATTTGCTAACATCTTCATTATAACGACCACGTATTTACTAAATGCTAATGTGTCTATTGAAATACCTTTATGTTCAACTTATGTGTAAGTAAAAAGTATCTTGCATAAGATAAAAATATCATTGAAATTCGAGTATACTCTTGAAAGCAAATATAATTGGACACATAAACACAACTGGCATGTGATAGTTTATATAACTACATAACGAAGGAAAGTTGACAAAGAAAAACCTTCAGTCATCTCGTTTAACATATAATGTAGTTGATTATTGACCTTTTTCTTTAGTCAGTAGAACATCCAATTATGAAGTAGATGTGACAGACTCTGTGGTGTCCTTTCTTTATTGGTAATTAAATTACTTTCCCTACTTTTGAATATCAGATACAGCGACTATTATTACAAATTACTATAAAAACCAATATAAAATTAAAGGTTTTAACTCTCTAAACAAGAGAAAGTACTTACATGTATACCTTTCCTTTATCGCCCACCTATATATGCTATTGTGCAACGTAAAACCTTATATAAAACATTTATTATATAAAATTATTTTCATAATGAAGAAAGTTTTAACTAAAAAATTAGGGGGAAATATTACTTTTCACCAGTCTTATTTAAAATATAATACAACATACACTTTAATATCAATACACCAAGGCAAAGGAATCTTACTGATATCAGATGTCAAATTAAAAATAAAAGGATTCTTTTGAAAACAGGAAAAATATCAAGCTTACAAATAATTCTAAATCAAATCAAATTGTGAGTACACCTTTGTTCAATTCTCTACAATATTCTTTTTTTTATTTTCACATTTCAGCTTTCAAATAATAATATTTATATAATTCGTGGATTTTTCTTAAGCATTCACTCACTGATTTTTTCACCTCACTCTAATTGCTACAATATTCTTACATATTACTGTATATAGGAGACTCTAACAAAATATTGAAAGATTACATTTTTTATAACTGATGGTATGTAAAAAAGTTATTCATACAAGTATGATGACTTATCTCCCTTTGCTGATGACGTCAGGAAAGCCCACTTGACGCAATAGGCCAATGGTGGATTGTTTTACTTAATTCTAAAAACGGCCTAGTGGATATTAGATCAAAATGGTACAGTGCGTTGCTTTTAACTGTAACATAAGAAGTCAGAAAGGTGTGTCCATGTTTTTATTTCCCAAGGATCCTAAATTTAGACAGATTTGGATTCGAAATCTTCGAAGAGATCGCTTTACTGTGACAGAATTTTCCAAGCTGTGCTCCAAACATTTTACGGCGGACCAGTTTAAGATACATCCGGCCTTAGCTAAAAAGTGTGGGTATAAGAAACTAGATCTTCGGGCAGATGCAGTCCCAACGATATTCGACATTCCGAAGACAGAGAAAAAACAACGGAAATCGACTGCTTACTTCAAGCGAAGGGCGATAGAAGTAGGTATATATATTGTAGCCTACATTTGAAAACAATTTTTTAATAAAAAGTATGTTCCCAATTAAATTCTTCGATAAAAATAATAAATGCATAATAAACATTTTCCATAGAATTACGAGCCCATCAAAATAATACGTTTGTAGACACCATTTTTAAAAGAACCACAGGAGTCGGCAGTTTTATCAATAAACCAGTGAAAACATAACCTATGAGCTTCGCTTCGCTCGCTACGCTCGCCAAGCTCATAGGTTATGTTTTCACTGAGCGAAGCGAAGCTCATAGGTTATGTTTTCACTGGTTTATTGATAAATCTGCCGACCCTGTGAAAGAACAAACCCCTAGGCCTATCATACTAAGAAAATAAGTACCGTTGTGCATAGTGGGACAGTGATTTTATTATTGACAATAATTTGCTACTACATGTAGCCTATCTTACTAGTGTAAAAACAAAGTAAATATTATAAATGTATATATCACCATCGTAATAAATATACATACACGCAGAGGGAGAGAAAGAGAGAGAGATATAGCCTACATGTATGTAAAGAAATTCATAGAGCTCTTGTTTACAAGGTCCTGTTGCATATCTTTAAGGCTTTAAGAGATAATGTGGAAGATGATGCAGAATTCGAAGAAGCTGAAGTAATTGAGCAGTCTACGCTGACAGATACTACATGTAGAACCAGCGAGACCAGTACTGCCACTGCAAGCCACACTTCCCAGTCTGGTTTAATGGTAATGCACACATTATTGCATTTCTTTTCTTTTTTTTATTATTAATTTTAATATCCACTGACGGTTCAAGATGGGCAACAGGCCCCTTTTGTGAATGATATATGAAATAGGATTTAATGGGGGGGGGGGGGCTACAAATTTCCTGGATCTGCAACTGATATTGTTATACAGGGATTTTCCACACCATTTTGGGAATGGGGCCCAGGCCCTTACAATTGGGAATTTAACGACATTTTATCACTTTTTGGGAATTTTTATTGCATGATATTTTTCAAGAAATAAACACTTATAATGAATAAAATTGATTTTTACTTCATTATTCAGAACTATAATTCAGAGAACAGATTAATTATTATGAAGTTTTAGTCAAGTTTCCAACAAATTATGTTCATTTCATCCATATTTCAACCTGACCATGTTTGTTTCACATGAAATTTTATCAGTTAACTTTGTGAAGTTTCAAAAATTGAACACATGCTGACCATTTTTGGGAAAAATGGAAGGAATATGCAATTGGGAATGGGGCCCATATTCGGCCCTACACGGGGTAGTGGAAAATCCCTGTTATATTTATTATATTTGAATTTTAAAAAGTTTTAAGTTCAGTAATGTTGAGAGAAATGATAGCTTGGTAAGCTCACTTTTTCATAAGTCTGGGTTTAAAATTACATACAGTAGTAATATTCAAATGTAAATTAAATTGTTCATAGTAATTGAACAATGATTTGATGTTTCATTTTTACAGGTATCTGAAGCAATAGGGATGTCAAATCAATTCAACGTGTTTACTCAGACTTCTCTTAACCACTGTGTGAGTAATTAAAATTCAAAATATTTACCAATGCTTTTTTATTAAATTTTAAAATATTTATTTATTAATAAAATGAAAATATTCAAATACATGCACAGGAACGTCAAAGTGTCATGATACAAGCATCTCCAGTAACGAAGGAAATAGGTGTACAGACAGACATCGCCTTACACAATTCTAATCATCTGGCAGTAGAATTTGATGATGATGATGACATGCCCACAGATTCTGATCATTCCGACATTGAAGACTCGGACATTGAATGGACATTCCCGGATCAGGACAGTGACGAAGGAGATATTACACCAGAGACCAAGAATGACATGAATGGGGATACCAAGTTTATAGTGTACAAGAGCTGTCTTGAACATCTTCTACCCACGCATTGCTTGAATTGTGGCATTAATATCATCAAAACTGATTATACTTGGAATGTTCTAGGTACATAATTTAATAAATGTTATAACATTTATTAATAGGGATAAATTCATACACAAATATGAAATACGTGATGTCTTCATTTGAACATTACACATTTTGTTTATAGACATATTGTTTACTGATTCTAAATCACAATAGTATGGTGTTGTAACTGATAGGATATATCTATATTTGGTATTTTATTTTAGGCACTGCTGTCAGTGTCCATTCTACGTGCAAAAAGTGCAGCATCTCCTGGGAGTGGGCGAGCCAACCTTTCTCTTGTATGATGCCTTGGGGGAACCTTATTGTTGCTGCTGCCATATTATTCAGCGGATGCAGTCCTGTTAAGGCTCTCAACTTCCTGAATTTCGCAGGCATCAGGAGTTTCAGTTACAGGACATATAATGCTCTACAACAGCTCTATCTTGTTCCAGCAATTGAGCAGGTATTGTATTACATGTATAATAGTATGCTATAGTATTTTATAATTCTACCATCATTTCTCTAATCTGGTTGGTTTAACTAATTGAAGTTATTGATCAATAGGTTTGGCAGCAGAAGCAGCAAAGTATGTTTGAGGAAATAAAAAGCAAAGACCACGCTGTAAAATTAGGTGGGGATGCCCGGTGCTGCTCTCCTGGACACACTGCAAAATTCGGCTCATACTCAGTCATGGACCTGAGCACGTCAAAAGTTTTGGATATTCAACTTGTCCAGGTATTACTTCTATACATTAAAGTTATAAATCCAGAAATTATATGCATATTAATTGCGATGAAATCAAATTTATCCTTAGTTCAATTCACAATACCATCATGCTCTCAAGTACTACATGTACATGTTCTAGTATCTGATTTCTACTCAGAGCAATGAAGTGCCAAACTCGTACCATATGGAGCTTGAAGGGCTAAAAAGGTGTTTGAGAAAGCTTCACCAGGAGGAAATACCAATATCGCACCTTGTAACAGACAGGCACAGTCAAGTTAAAGCCTACATGAAGCGTGACCAACCACAGATTGTACACATGTTTGATGTTTGGCATGTTGCTAAAGGTATATACATTATGTGTTACACATTATGATTGACCATTAAAAGTGAAAATATCAAGTTTGGGACAATATATCTCACTTTTGATCTCAGTTTCACTTTTCACTATACATTCCTTTTGTTAAAGTGAGACTTGGATCAATGGTGAGCTCATCTAGCTTTTATGGCCCAGCTAGGAGCTATAAAAGTACATGTATTAAATATATGTAACACAAATATCAGAGCATGTGTTGATATAAAAGAAAAAGTATTGTCCCAAACGTAGAAAAAAAAATAGATGTAACAATAGTGACTATATCTTTTCATCTCTATAGGAGTCTACAAAAAGCTGGAAGCTCTTTCAAAAAAGAAAAACTGTGAACTAGTTGGGGCATGGGCCCACTCTATTAGCAATCACATTTATTGGTGTGCAGCTTCGAGTGATGGGAATGGAGAGCTGATTCTGGAGAAATGGATCTCCATTTTAAACCATGTAACAGATGTACATGAAGGGCATGGAGAACTATACCCGAGATGCCTTCATGGACCAGTTGATGACAGACAATGGATTAGGAGAGGTATAATGCAAGTGTGGATTAGTTCAAATGATTATGTGTACAATGATTGGATATGCAACTGAACACTATTGTTTATGTAAATATGAACAGCTTAGTTACTTTTGAACATTTAGGCAAAAAATGTAATATATGTGCATGACAAACTAAACACTGGTACAATACAATATATAGAATTTGCATGATTTACTTGCAAAACCTGAATTATTTTGTAAAATCCATGTTAAAACTTCATGTACATTGTACCCTTTCCTTCATTTAGGATCAAAGGCATTCTTAGAACTGGAGACAGTTGTTAGGGGAAGGATGCTGCTGACAGATATTAAGCAACTATCAAATGTTGGCCAAACCTCATGCTTAGAGGCTTATCATAAAGTAGTGTGCTTTTTTGCACCCAAAGCTGTACACTTCTTTTACATACAGATGCAGGCTCGGTAATATTCTAAGAATTATTGTTAATTTTTTCAAAATAACACGTTCAAAACATACATGTTGAGCATTGAATTTTACTTCAAGGGCTGATAATTTTTAGACCCTTTTAAATTCTTATAATATGAATTTTCTCAACAGGATATACCTAGCAGCTCTGCATTTCAATGAAAATGTAAGCAGACCACAAAGCAGAACAAGGGAGGGGGAGAAGCAGTACAGTGTTTCCTATCCAAAAGGTCGCCATGGAGAGGGTGTTGCAAAGGAAGTTAAAGTTGATCAAACTTTCAGTGAGTAAAGGTTCAGTTCTTATTTCATGATTAAATTTTATTAAAAGCAAAATTGGATTCAGTTTTAATTTAAACCAATTATGTGAAGAAAATATTATCTATGTTTATGATTCAAAATACATCAGTAAATTATTTTATTGAAAATTCCAATTTCCTACAATTTAGATTACATCTCTGACCTGATGGATGCTGTTGTGGATCTGCGCACTGTCAATGACAGCTATACAAAAGCAAGGGAGGCTATGAACTTGCCTAGGAGATTGCCTGAACCACTATCACAGAGCACACCCAAGCCACCAAAACATGTGACAATTCAGAAACATGTCACTCGTTTCAATGATAATTGATACTAAAGGTGTTTTAAAAAAACTGTTCATTCTGAAATCTGTCCAGATTTGGTAAAACACTTCTGATGTGTGTTTTCATCGATATAAACTGAGCTAATAAATGATATATGTATAGTTTAATATGCATTTTTCTCCTCTTTTAAAGTATACATTGTACCCTGCTTGAAAACATGTACATCTGAATTTAGTGACAATTTATATTTTCATTACATCAACTATTTTTCTTCACCGGGGTATCGAAATCCACAATACTGCTGGCTAGGAAACTGTTTTCTGATAGCATCAACAACACATGATGGAAGGATCCTCCTATTGTACCTTCCTAATCGTTTCCAAATAAACCTTGCAAATCGCCTATAGGCAAGGTGTCGATAAAGCCTAAAAGTTAAAAAAAATCACTGAAAATGATATAAAACTTATGGGCATAAAATATATATCTCTGAGAGTGTTCCGATATTGTTTACATTTATGTATTATCAATTTTGCCTGTTTCCTGAACTTACTCATTAACTGGTTCATCATCGCCAATTGGTCCATTGTCCTGCATATACTCATAGTTCGACAACTTCAAAACATGATGATTCAGGCAATTAACAACAAAACTATCATGCTCAGTGATGCACTTCAAGTTCCCTTTATGTACTTTTCTTGCTACATCAGGTATTCCAAAGCAACATTTACACTCTCTTGTCGTTTCCATAATGACACAATTGCTACAACTACACCTGTGTGATAAAATTATCACTTTTGTCAGTCTTAACCAGAATTAGAATAAATGACTTGAAGTCATGGATATAGATCAGATTAAGTGATAAATGTAGAGGCACATTTATAAGAAGTAAGAAAAAACTGGATCAGTGTATTATAAAACAGGTCCAGCACAATACCCTGATACAGGTATATGGCTTGATAAAAGCTATATAGCCTGATCAAAGTCTTACCAATACCTTGATCAAGGTATTTTATGTAATGAAAATTCGATCATTAAAATAAATAAATACCGAAAGTCGAGTTCTGAGTTGTTTTCAGTTAATTCACTTGTGCATATTGTAAAGTACTCAAACGCAAAGAAATCAGTATATTAAAAGCATGTCGTGTGAGGAGGAGTTCTTTTATGCTGTTTTTGTGATACCAGATGGAATGCTTTTTATGCACGAGTGGACACACTGACCAAAAAAAAAAAAACATCTCGACTTGCTGTATTTAAATTTGTTTTTAAGGGTATTTTATTTTAATATTCATTACATAAAATACCTAGATCAAGGTAATGGTAATACACTTTTACAGTTTTATCAACCTATAAACCTTTATCAGGGTATTGTGCTGGACCTGTATAGGCCTTGACCTTTCCTTTATTTAGAGTAATACAGCCTTATAGTCTATAAACACGTTTTCAACTCTTGAACAATTCAAGTATCATTATTTGTGTAGAGGAAATTCTGATCTGGCTGTAGAGCCTCTGTTCTCATATATGGATGCATAGTACTGCTCACTGCTTAGCGTAATATTGTTGTTGTTGCTTTGTTAAAATTGCTTGTAAGAAAATATCAAATATATTTAGTTACCAGTCAGTATTACACGGAAGAACTTCAACAGGGTCGGAATCGTTTTCCTCTTCACTACATTCAGACGAAGATTCTTTGATCTCGTTCGCATTCGCTTTAAAAACAGGTTCAAACTGATAACCTTGTACAACAAACTCAGGATCGTCGTTCACCAACTCCTCAAATGGCTCCATTTTGGAAAAAGCGTCGCTGTTCTTAGCCTTTGTTTTGATTCACAAAATGACAAATTGAAAGTGGTCTCGTGTGACGTCACACGATCGGAAATTCAAGAACGATAATCAGGGAGCGAATTTCTTGAGCAAGTAACTTTGAGCTTTGATCTCTAGTGCATAACGTAATTTAAAAATTGGTGGGATATTTTCAAAGAAGATTTTGAGGTACAAATTTGATATTCATGGGGGGAAAACCCATTGTTAACACTTATCTCCTATGACCTTTAAGGTTTCTATTAGAGATATATTTGAAGGTATATTTTTTTCGATTCAATGTCTTCTGTTTTAAGGCACCTGTAAAGTGCAAAACGAAATAGAAACGAATCGAAACAAACTGAAACGAAACGAAATCTACTAAAACCTATCGAAACAAAACGAAATCAAAATGAAACCTACTGAAACGAAATCAAAATGAAGCCTATCGAAACAAAACATAACTATCAAATTGTTTTTTAAATCAAGGTACACAATTACATATGTGTAACTACATGTAGGCCTTTTCTACTTTAAATAAAATTTATATAGTTCAAGCACTTGTTAAAATAAAATCTAAACACCGATAATATGCGTTAGCATACTATGCATGTATAATTTCAATATGTGTAGCATTTCTGTTAATTTCTAGGTCTTGCTCTTATTTTCAGCCCTTATTCGTCTACATACAACATATTATCTACCAAATTTGATGTATTACATGTAAAGGCTCGTTTATGTTCGAGTCGAAATAAACTCACTGTACTGTTGAATTGCGAATGTCTTTTCGCAAGGACATACACTAAATAATCTGAACCATTTTTTGAATATAAATAAAGGATATGTTCCTTAACTTGAAAAGTGTTGCTGCTTTCTTTAAATCGTGAGCATGACTTCATAAGTACACAAAATATTTGGTAAAAGGCAAACATATTTCGACATCAGCCTATTTACTGGAAATTATAACTATCAAAACGCGAATTCTATTCAAAACAGCAGCACTTTCCAGAAAGTACAAAGTATACAGAAACAATAAACAGTTTGAATTTTTAATTTCAACTAGGGTATGCCCTTGCGATATTGAAATTTGTTATTGACCTACATTCCGTGTACCTACTATGCATTCATCACGTGACTGTCCATCGATGGGACCAAACTGCATACAGTACAGAGTAGATTATACTATGCTATTTCCATAAGTATTTAAGTTCTGTGATAATAGAACAGCTGAATAAAAATAAGTTCAGTTTTAAGAACAATTCCCATTTTTGCAGTTCTATTTTCCGTTGATTTCTCATAGTAAGCCTCAACAGTGCTGCGTATGAAACAGAATATCTGCAAAATCTTTTGCTTCAAAATAAGAAAGTACTTGCTGTGGCCTTCAACTTGACATTTAGATATATCGACGACGTAAATTGTCAATTAACAATTGTTATTTCTATTCTTATGCCGATATGATTTATCCTGGTGAGCTTGAAATAAAAGAGTCGCACACATCTGTTTCATATTTGGATGTTATACTTCAAAAAGACATTAATGGCAATCTAATAACGAAGTTCTATGACGACTTAAACTTTTCTATCGTCATGTTCTCTTACTTATTTCTCAATATACCTTCAACTCCCGCATACGGAGTTTATAAATATCAGTTAATTCAATACGCAAGAGCATGCTCATGAATGAACAATTTCTGAAACGAGGTAAATAATTGACAAATAAGTTGACGAAACAAGAATGTCAGCTGCCTCTTTTAAAGTCATCATTTCGTAAGTTCTATGGTCGATACTATGACCTTGTCAGCAAAAACAATTTATCATTGAGTCAAATGCTAACTGACGTTTTCATACTAGTTGTTATTCCAGTATTTATACACTGAATTGACGACGGATTTTTCCATTATTCTCGATCTTGACAAGGAGCACACGGCGGGTGTAACCGTTCGGCAGAGAATGCTTACTCCTCCATGGCACTTGGTCTTAGCTCCGATGTTTTGGAGGACAGACTGTTTGCTCTGCTCCTATTTTGTATTGTTTTTTAGACTTTTGATCTTGAATAATGTTCGTATCTCCATATATTTCATGCACTCTCATAAAAATGTCTTTAAAAATATTCAAAGAGATTGGGGGAACAAACATAAAACAAATGCCTTGTAGTAGTGTAATGCAGTATGTGTGTGAAATTCAACATAAAATATCTACAATTCTATTCTCTATTTAGAAGCATGACATATGACGCTGTTTTACAAAAATAAAATATCACATAGAACACAGGGACAATTACATTTGTTAGGTCATTGACTCCTTTACATAGTTAGGTAGTATTGTCACAGCCACTGGTGGATCTGTGGGAAAAAACAAACCAAGACCAAATCACTAAACATATAGCCCGCAGAAAGTGGCGATGGATGTGACATACCCTCCGAAAACCACCAGGAGACATAACACGCCACTCACTCGAGTGGAACCCACAAGGCAAACGGCGAGTTGGGCGTCCCAGGAAAACTTGGCGAAGGTCATGTGAAAAGGAGATCAGGCAATGTGGAAACACCTGGGAAAAACTGAAAAAGGCTGCCCAAAATAGAGTGCGGTAGAGAACTGTTGCCGAGGCCCTATGTTCCAGCAGGAACCAAAAGGAACCATGAGGTCATTGATCCGGCTTCCATATTCAAAGACCTCGGAACTATTTGAAAGATTTAATATTCAAGGCGACTGGGTCTTCAAATCGTGAACTTTTGCACAACCTTCGTCTTGCATCGTCCAACTTACAAGAAGAAACTGAATTGTCTACAGATTGGTCTGATTTTAACAATTATAACAAGAATTACACGCACGTCGACCAGTCGGCTGGTAATGCTCCTCCATTGAATCTGAACGTAGTTCTGATGTTTCAGTTGCAGTATCGTACACATGTTCAAACCAGTTCAGAATTACCCGACAAAGGACTGGTTGTGGCAATATCTTGAAGCAGTAATGATGGTTTTATGAGTCATATTAAAATTTCTGGTTATTTTTGGCTGAAACTGCCCTAAAATAATCTCCTAGTTCGTCATTTCTTTTTAAATTGAATAAGATCATTACTTCTCAAATTACCAATAGAATACATTGACTCAGAGATGCTTCATCATCAGAATAAGGGAGACAGTAGGATGTTTTGGGTTGTGCGTGTGGCTAAGCTCCGAAAAAAGATTGTCCAAAGTACTTATAAACAGTAATGTGAAATTTAATCACTGAATGGTAAATGGGATCCTTTTGTTCAAAATCCTGGTTAAGGGTACATTTTAGGAAAATGTGCATGTGAGTAGTGAGGAAAAATAATTCTTATCAGTGTTTAAATGTCAGCTTATTTCTGCATTATTTTAGGCATATAAACACTGTAA